TCCCTAGCTCATACCTTTTTGCATGCAAAACATGAAATAACATGATGTGTTGCAAAAACTTGTTTCATTGGAAGTGGTGAAAACAAAAGGAGCATCTGATGAGATTCAATGATGAGATACAGATTTAAAGCACAGTAGTTCTCCAAGGGTGTCCTCATGCATGGTGCACCATTACAGCAGAACTCAGAGAGCCAGGCTGTAGTAGATGAAGCACCAGCTTTTCAGGGCTGAAGGTGCAGTAGAAACTAGCTGTTCTGCTACTGCTGCAAAAGGCCAGTTTGGCCCTTAGTGTCATTTCTGTCCTAGTTTTGGTATAGTGCCTAGTGGCAAAGTCTGTTAGTATGGCATGGAGGTTCTCTTTTTGTTCCTGGCTTTTACTTCATCAACACCACTGGGTGGTTTTAGGCAAAATGTTCCACCTTCCTCCTCCAATGATTTTTTTGGAAGAGAACCACAAAGAGAAAGCATATGCTGAATTTTACAGAAAACTGTAAGAGTCTCTAGTCATCCACATGAGAACTGTTACCATGCTTCAAAATTAATTGGAACATTTGCATGTTTAAAATTAAGCAGTAGTAGAAATCTCACCAGGGGCATATTGTGAAAAACATCCACTTTTCTTAATCTTACAATAGTTTTTATTATCTATTCCTTTTCAAAATTTCCTGCATAGCTATTTTATCTATATAGGACACATCTGTCCAATTAAGAAGAAAAATAAACTGTCACTTCAGAAAGGTGTAAACGTAAATTAAAGCCCACTTGTTCTACTGATCTCCACTATGTCTTATTTTGGAAAGGGACTTTTCTAACATAAAGATTCTTAAACCTTCCCTCTACCTCCTATCTTCTGTGAATTCTGTTAGAGAATTGGCTCCTTCTATTACTGCAACTTTTCTTAAAACTATTTTATGGCTCAGTGTTCTTAGAGCACTGGTGATTCAGTTTTCTCCTTTTTTGTGGTGAGAGGGAACATATGTTACTTACCTCCTGTATGTGCCACAGGTGACTTTCCTTATTTCACTCAACTGTGTGAGCTGATGGCAGGAGCCCACTCCCAAGTGCTGTTTGCTGTTCTTTTCCTGCTGGTTCCTACCAACTGGCAAGTCTTCGGTAATACCAAAGACTGGTTTTCTTTTTGTACTGCTGTCCTATCACCTGCTAAGGTCATGCACAGGGATAATGTCTCTGTGATGGTAGGCTGCTTCATTATGTCTTTCCTAGAAGTTGCTTTCTGCTGAAGTATGGTAGATGAAGCCAAGGCACAGTGTATTGGTGGCCCAGGGAGCTATATTAAGTTGTAGAACTTAATGTTTTGAGTTAAAGGCTTGGTATTGAAATGCTGATTGTAAACTTTGGGGCCTCAGGCAGTAAAATAACTACACTTTTCTGATAGTATTTTTCTTTTATTCTCTTACTGCTATTTTTTCTACACTTGAAGGCTTAGGTACTGGTGAACTCTCCCCATTTCAACTCAACTATACATCAGCAATAGCGACTGTAAATTGTAATTGGTCAGAAAGGCAAGACTTAAGCCATTTATTTGGCTCATAATTTTGTTTAGTTAGTTTTATTCATTAGCTAACACATTCTTTACAAACTTGGTGTTAAAGAGCAGCTGTGTTCTCTCATACATGTGAGGTGAGGTAAAGGCATTACCTTCAACTCAAATGACAGCTTCATGGTGAGGCAGGTGTGCCAGGGATGTCTTGCTTTTGTCAGATTCATCAGAGCAGGAAGACCAAGAGTTTGTAAAGTGGTAAAACTTACTAACAACTTGGAAAGGCCTGTTCCATGAGTAAGATACTTTTATGTGACCTTTTCTTCCCTTCTAGTGATCTAAATATGACTAGTATGTATCTACCTATTTCTAAATGCACTCCTACCCACATCCTACACAGTGCACTTAGTTCCTCTCTGACAGCAGAGAAAGAAAGCAAACTTTATGAGTCATATGTTGATCACAGTGACTACCTTTTAGAAGTATGAGGCACAACTGTAGAGCTGGCAAAATAAACTACTGAAAAGCAAACAAAAAGGTGGCTGATTGTTGTATTTGCTTTAAATTGAAGCGAACAGTTTGATAGTATATATGTTTCTGGTTTTCATTTCTGTTTGTAGGATGCTTCTTTTAAATTACCTGGGCAGAACTGGCAGAGACACTCCTTTAATGGCAGCTGCAATTTTCTCTGCGGGTTGGAATGTTTTTGAATCTGTAGAATCTCTGGAGAAGCCACTAAACTGGCTTCTTTTCAACTATTACTTGACTACTTGTCTACAATCCTCTATCAGCAGGTGAGTTGCCGTCTAAACTATTTAGCAAGGTGGAAGGAAGTTACCATAAGATCTACAGCAGGTATAATAATATTGGCAAAATGAACACTTCACATAGTTGTTCTGTGTGCATTCTTCTGTAAATCTGGAAATCAAAAGGATCTTTGCAAGAAAGGTGATCATTGGTGTGACTAAATTTCTTTGCTCCTCAAGACCAATTCCTCTCCTTGGCACAATAGGACACTTCTATATTTATGGATTAAGTGAATGGACTTTTAAAATTTCTACTACACATGCAAATATTTCCTTTGAGTATATATGAATATAAACTAATTCTTTTCAGCCGATCTCAACTGCAAAAGCATGGAAGGGACTAGTTAATTCTTTGCTTTGAAAAAATAGGGTGCATTTTGTGTTCCCAAATACGTAATTCTCTTTAATTCTTTTATCTTTGGCATCTTTCTCATGGCTTATGCACATTTTTACTATGTTGCTGGATGTGCCTGCATATGAATGAACAATTCTGCTGTTGGATTTCAGGCACGGAACTGGATTTTTAATAGGACAGAATATTAAATCCAAGCATGTTCTTGTTAACAAGCTATTTCTATAATTGTATCTATAAAGCAGAGTATTCTTACATCTGTTTATATAACAAAAACAAACCCTGCAATTTTTCTCTATTTCTTTTTAGGCATAGACAAATGTTGGAGAAATTATTTGATATGGATCTTGTGATGAAGGTATGTGAAAATCACAGAATCACAGAATATTAGGGGTTTGAAGGAACCTCTGAAGATCAGAGTCCAACCTCCCTGCCAGAGCAGGACCAAAAACCACACACAGCTGGGGCAGATGACTCAGAAAGGCATCCAGAAAAGTCTTGAAAGTCTCCAGAGAAAGAAACTCCACAACCTCTCTGGGGAGCCTGTTCCAGTGCTCTGTAACCTTCACAGTAAATAAGTTCTTCCTCATACTGAGGTGGAACTTCTTGTGCTTGAGTTTGAATCCACTGCTCTTCATCCTATCACAGGACACAAGTGAAAACAGCTTGTCCCTGCCCTCTTGATGCTCAGCCCTCATGTATTTATAGACATTAATTAAATCCCCCCTCAGTCTTCTCTCTAGACTGAAAAGCCCCAGGTCTCTCAGCCTTTCCTTGTAAGGCAGGTGTTCCAGTCCCTTAATCATCCTTAATCATAATGTTAATCAGTAGCTCAGAATTAAAGACTAAAATCAGGTATCACATACAAATCAGAAAATGTTACTTCTGCTTTAGCTGGGTGCTGTTTCCCAAACGCTGACATGGTTCCCTATTTGAATTCTGCTCTTCAGGCTAGAACTATTAGAGAATTTGATAAGCAGTTCACCTCAGTCATGTTTGGCTACCGTACAATTGATGATTACTATGAAGATGCCAGCCCATGTCGCAAGCTGAAGTCGGTAGGAATTCCAGTGTTGTGTCTAAACTCTGTGGATGATGTTTTCTCACCAGGTCACGGTAAGTCTAAGCTTTTAAAAATATTTTTATCTGTCTATGGAATTATTAATAAAAACGATAGAGTGTGGAGGTGTGTTTAAATGTTACTTGTATATAAAAAAAACTTGTCCGTATCAAAACCTCCAGGGCTGAATCAGTCTTGCAATTGACTTCAAATGTAAGATGCATAAAAGAGCTGATGATGGAGAGATCTGATTAGTACAGAATGCAGAAGCAGGTGGGGTGGCAATTGTTAGCCCTTAGTAGACTCTTTACAATCAAAAGAAAGAAATATGCAGATTTAGAGTGAGAGTTATCTCACTATGAGGAAGATAGCAGATATGTTGTCCTCCTAGAAGCACCCATTTCTGTTCACCAAGTATGAAGAGAGCCTATAATGAAGAACTTGGATACAGATTCCTGGATTGTAGACATTCAGAGTTCAATGAAACTTTCTGAAAAAGAGTATTTTTTTACTGCCATTTTGCAATCCACTCCCTATAAAGAATGTCTGGGAGTTGCTTGTGAGCTACTAGAAGTAAGCATGCTGAAATTAGTAAGAATCTAACTAGAAGGTGAAGCAGACAAGGGAAAACAGAGTTTTTAGCCATTCTTCACATTTTCTGCAGAACACCTTATCATTACAAACATTCTTTGCTATTGATCCGAAGATCAAGAGCCTGTTTCTGACTGTCTTAAAAAGATGTGATTGTTTCTGTGGTCTGTGTATTGGTTAGAGTGTCTGAGTAAAGAGGGAGAATAAAAGTGGAAAAGTACTATCATGAACAGCTGGTTAAGGGGAGTCTTCAGCAGTGAATACCTGATATCTTTAAATAAAATAATAATAAATAAATAAAGTTCATACACTGGACTTATTTCAGGGATGTTTTCTTATGCCACCACAAGTCAAGATTTTTGTAGAATCAGTCACAGAACCAAAGTGAGTAGGCAAAGAGATTAGAACAACAAATGGAAGAATGAAGGAATTGGAAGAGACTCTGTGTTTGTGTGTGCTGTTTGTGCGCAGATGTACAACACACGAGAAAGATCCACACATTTATGTTACTATTTATAGTTCTAAGACCTGTTAGAGACAGATGGGACACCAAGAAAAAAGGGCCACTCCAATAAAGTGCACTAGAAAAAGTCAGATTCCTTCCTCTCTTGAGCAGCCATCATCCATGCTATGCATGAACAATATGAAGAGGTGACAGACACCTAATATGAAGGAAAAAATTGTGACCCTGGATTAGCCAAACTACCTATCCCTTACATTTCCCAAAACAAAGGCTTAAAAAGTAAGACCTGGTCAAACATAGCAATACTCCTCTAGAATTCCACATCCACCTTCAGCAATTTGTAGTCTAGGGACTTTCTAAGCCAGATTTACTCCCTTTGTACTTACTGTCTTCTGTGGGATTGATTTGATGTTTTTTTTTCTTTGAAATTGCCCAGTTGCTGTTCCTGTCATAAGCATATAATGTCCTCAAAATGAGAATGGATGGGGTCATGACCCTAAAATCAGTGTCCAAATATGAAATCTTGCTGGTGATTCTGAAGCTAATTTTTTATGGGTGACCCCAAGCATGACTTTCCCTCTAGGTGGGTGATCTGCTGTGCTTCTGCAATTAAGTATCTTAGAGAGGGAACAGTAGCTTCACCTCTGTGTTTAGTTTTAGCTCAGTTTGTGGTTTATGATCCTAAGTGAAGTAGTTTACTATGGCAGGAGTAAGCTAGACAGTTAGCACAAGTAAACCAGACAGCATCTCTATCCCTGGAGGATTCGTTAACCTTTTTCAGCCTATTACCACTGGGACTGGGATCTTTGTTAGCTAGATTAAAGGTAGTGCAGATTCTACATCCCTTTGTCTCTTCATTTTAGAATGTAACCTCCAGCTTTTAAGAGCCAACCATTGACTCTGACCCCATGAAATTCAATCTGAACATAAGAAAGCACTTCTTTACTGTGAGGGTGTTCGAATACTGGCATAAAGAGGTTGTGGGGTTTCCATCTAAGGAGATACACAAAATATTATTGGATACAGTCCTGGGCAGCCTGCTCTGGATAACCCTGCCTGAGTAGAGGAGTTGAACTAGATGTTCTCAAGAGGTCTCTTACAGCCTCAACATTTCTGGGATTGTGTTGCTTGACGAGCCAAAACATTGAGTCCCCTAGAGTAGAGCTGTAGCAAATCTCTCCTCTTTTGGAGCTGGTTTTTAAGAGAAACACAACTCTTGGTAAACAGTGGGTTATAGGAGTTGTTTCTTCTATAAGATTAAGTGTGAAACCTATTGTTAGAATGTCTTAGAAGTCTTGCAGTGTAGAGAGGGGTGAAGTAGAACTCCAAGAGATACCTGAAACAAGATGTATTAAAGCCTGTTGCAAAGATTGTCGGTCATCTCTTAGACTCTGACCCTAACCAGCTCTTGTCTGTGAAAATATTGGGGTGGTTAGGCATTTGTTTATTCTTAGTTCACAGAGTTACTGCTGTTGGCTGTGAGCAGTTTACCTTAGAAAGGGCCATCAGGACAACGTTGATTTTCAGCTAATGACATGTCTCTGTATATATCCTTGGCACCTTTCTTGTATGTGATGTGCATCCTCAATGTGAGAAGTTGTGCTGGCAGGAGACATAAGGCACCCTGATTGGCAGCCTAGAAGTTGTCTGCTGCCATCAGCTACTGGAATTCATTCATCCTGACACTCTTGTGGGCTGTTTTATGTTAGCAAATATAAAGGGCTGGTGTTATTCTGGGAGGTGACTTTATTCTGGCAGCTAGCTTGTTTTTTCTGATTAAAAGTTTGTGGACTATGTAAGCCTGTGGCAACCAGAGGCAGTTTCCACTCACAACTGTCTGATGGATTCAAAGCCACAACATTTATTCTAATCCAGACCCCAGTATTTTATTGACATTGGGGACTGGTTATTTCATGCCTCATTTCTCCCAGTAATACCTACCAGCCTTTAATGTACCTTCCACCTCTGTTGTAGATAGCTGTAGTTTCTGACAGCTGGGAAACAGGCCTAGAAAACTCATTAGGGAGAAAGCTGTGCCAGACTTCCTTTGTGTTTATATATCCTTTATAAAACCAGCCACATCTCTCTTCCTATAACAGAGCTTGGGGGATACAAACCCAAGTCTGCTTTGTCATTACACAGTATGGACATAAAGACACTTTACTTAAAAAGTGAAGATGCTGTCTCTGTTGCCTCTTTCTACCTGATCATTTCTTCTCATATAACTTTTTGGTACACTTTGTACTTTGCAGCAATTATTTTTTAATATATTGTGAAAGTGTGCCCTTTGTTCTCAATCCAGTATTAGGAAGAAACAATTCATTTTCAGTCCTTCCTTAATGTTGCTGTTTAAAGTTCATAGAGGTTGACAGCTAATGGATCTGTAGTTTCAATTCTGGAATGCAGTTCTCATATTGCATAATACTAACAAATTAAAACAAATGCTTTTTTCATTGCATGACACTTCTCTCACCATAACTAATTTAAATGAGTCATTGCTTCAGGAAATACGTAATATAACCAAGTCAAGCCCTTTTATTTTGTAAGTGTGGAAAATAAATCAAGATGGAAAGACAGCGTTCATTATCAGTATCACATTTAATTTTTCATCTGAAGTGGCATTTTTCTCCTCAGAGGCTTTAAGCAGCATATTAGGTGTCTGACTTAAATTTCACTAGACTAATGCTTAGCTAATTGCCACTGGTGAGTGTTGTGCCCAAGCTGAAAGCCTGCCCTTGAAGCAAAGTACCATGCCAACTCTCTCTTGAGCCACCGTGCCAATTACGTGTTTCTCTCAAGCTCAGTTATACTTTTTATTGAACTCTCTGAACTTTTTCTGTCCCTCTGAATCCAAACTTAGGAGTAGTTGCTCTTCAGTGTTATTTTGCATCCTATTATGTGAACAGCACAGTTGAATGAAGCTGACTAAATGGCCAGACAGATAACAAGTAGGGTGTAAAGGCCTAAGAAACAGGGAGAAATCAACCAAACAATGGAACAGAAAGTCTGACAGCAGTGACTTATTTAAGGCAACAGTGCTTCACATGTGCACATGCACATACGTATTTACATTGTGGTTCTGTGATCACAAATAACAGGTCTGTGCCTACTGGATCAAACAGTACAGATTTTGGTCTGTTCAAACGTTAAGTTTGTAACGAGGTTACATGTGGACAAAAATGAACAGTAGTATCTTTTGTCATGCCACCTAGAGTGGCATGTCTATCCTAGAGTGTATCACATCCAGTGCTCCATTCATGTGCCCTTTACAGTGCAAAAAGGGCACTGTTTTTTTGCACTGTTTGCGTTGTGAGTTTATTTGTGGATGGCTAACAGGCCCTAGAAACAGCTTTGAGAAAAATACCACACCACTGCCAAGCCTAATTTGCATTTTGGCACTGGAGAGCAACACAGCATTTTAAACTGTCTCCTGAGAAGCTGCAGAGCAAGAAACTCCATTGGGAAGGAATTATACAAATGGTGACCCAACTGTATCAAGACTGACTATGCCAAGGGCAGGCTCTTCTGTTCGCCACAGGGGAGCTAAGAGCAGAGAGGTACCAGCAGGTCTAACTTGGCACTTGCTAAAAATCCTCACTGCAGATGGAAGCAAATGACTGCATATTCAGCACTGTGCTGCAGCTTGTGGTAAGAGCAATGATCTGTGGCATAATTCTGCTGTAAATGTATGTTAGTTATAATAGGGAGAACTTCAGGATGGGGAAGATGACTTCTGTGAAGACCTATGTGTGGCTTGCACCTTACCTGGCACAGAAGATAACCAGCATCCTGGTGCTGGTAGGCTTGTAGGACAGAGCTGCTGTAGCTGTTTGGAGGCAGGCAGCATGTAGCACCTACTGCAGTATTTCCAGTCAGTTTGGGAACTAAAAATTAACCACCAACGAACTTATTATGGAGGTATCATTATGTTGGCAACCTCTGAATCATAGGTGTGCAGACATGACAGCAAGCCTTGCCTGTAAGGGCTTCACCAGCTGAGCTGGCACAGCAGAGCAGACATTTACTGTCATCTTCCTTCCACACCCCCAGCAAAGCAGTTTCTCATCAGGAAAGGATAATTCTCTCTATGCTTTGACAGTAGTCAGACAACAACCATCAAGTTTTTTCACAATTTTAGCTAGAGAAGAATATGTTCAGATCAGTATGCAGCTGATCCTGAATCCATTAGGATCAATGGAGTTCTTATGTTACCTCTGTTTTTTGGAGATCAAGTCTGTCTCTCCTCACACACTCCTCCCCATACCCTTGCATCTAATCCTATGAATTAGTCCCCACAGTGATCAGGGAAACAGCTGCAGAACAGCCATGGAAAGTGTGTTTCACTGCCTGAAGCTGGAGTGGGGGACTTGGGCTTGAGTCTGATCCCTAGTTCTTTATCAGCCTTCTGTTTAACGTGGCCTACATGCTACTAGAGGGAAGAGGAGCAGATGGCTTGGTACAGATAAGTGGGCAAATTCCCATGCAGTTGGCAGAAGCTCACATGAATCATAGCTACTGTCTTGTACGCTGCATTGTATTTATCCACGGAATCCAAGGGAGGCAGAGCTGAAATTGTTGGGCAGATTAACTTGGGCAAAACTCCAGACAAGTGCTTGCTGAGTCTGGAGTCTGAAAATGATGCATGTGTTGGATTCCAAGAAATAACACATTGTTTTCTGCATTTCTTGTTTTCAGCCTCTGCTATTTCCCAGTCAAGGCTGGCAGGCCCTAGGCTTTTATTTCATTAGCTTTTTTTTTTTCAGTCTTGCCTCAGCATACTTTAAAAGGCCCAGATACTGCATATAGTGTTTTCAGTTTTTCAGCTGAAGAAGAATAAAGGAGAGACAGTGAAGAGCATGGTTTCTTCGACCTAGTAAAGAATCAAAATGCTGGAATTACTAAATGCTGGAATCTATAAACTACTTAAATGCATGCAATTTCGAAAGGAGGGAGAGAGTGAGAGAAATTAAATAGCACTGAATAGCAAAGAATTTCACATTCTCTGCAAGAGAATCCCATTGCTGTCTGGAGCTCAGTCTGTGCTCCATTCAGGGCACAGTCCATTACCTTATGTTATGTGCAGGAACCTTAGAACACAGCATTCATAAAAGACACTAACCCTGCCATTAATATGGTTATTTTAGCATCCATGCTGAGGTCGTGGAGTGGAACAGAGCATATTGTTGAAGACACTGCAGGGAAGGGCCTCTGAGGCTCAGACTGCTTCTCTGGCTCCACAGGTCCAGTGCTTCTGCCCTGATCTATTTTAAGTTGCACATTTGTTCACCACAGTCATTGCATTTGAGATCTCCTGTGACATTCTCTGGCTGTGGGTCCTTCTTTGGCCAAGGAGTGGGTGCTGTGCTGCTTCTCTAGTTGCTGAAAGTGAAGGCAGATCTGCACCTGAAGCACACACAGCAGCAACTCTGCCAGCACCCAACTGCAAGTCGGGAACTTGGGTAGTGATAGGCAGGCATAATGGCTATTCAAGGGTAACTTGAGATAGCAAAAGTATAAAGTGGTTAAGGAATACAGACTTCTGGAAATAGAATTGAATGGTGGGTATCTCTGCAAGAAGTTCAGTCAGAAAGGGATGTTGGACAACTAAACCCCCACCCGAGTGAACCTGATTAAAAATCTCCCTTCAAAAATACTTTTAAATGAAGCAGCAATAGAAATCCTGGAAATTACTTGCTAAATTGTGTTGCAGTGCTGCGGCATTTTTATTTAGCAGCTTATGACCTAGAATTAGGAATTTTTTCTTGTGGAATCATAACTGGTTTTAGATGATGCAGTGGCATTCATGCTGCTCCCTTCAATCTGGACAAAGCATGTCTTCTTTTGCTATTGTTTTTTCTGTCAATTCTGAGTAGTCAAAAAATATGCATGAATTTTATTTGTTTCCCTTCCATTAGGTTTATAGTTTGAAAACTGGAACTCTAAAAGGCATTCTTAAGGGAAATTTATTGAGATTTCTGCTTGTTTAGGAGTAAATAATTATTACATCAAAAGCACAAACACCACAATTCCTTATGGAATGGAATGTTGCTCCAATGTTGTGTCAAACAGATCATATGATAATAGTGTCATATCCCACCACGCTAAAATACCATTCATGAAGTCTTATGCATGTCAGGTTGTGCTAACTGAACTACCCAGGTGCTAGCATTGATTAAGACCCACATTTCTGCATATTCAAATACGATGCACTGCAGTCTCCCTTTCTGCACATTTTGAGATCAGCAGGTGCCTCAGGTGCAGTTCATGGATGACTTTCAGCTACCTATAGGCTGTCAGTGAGTCTCCTACAAAAAGAATGGGATTCACAATTGAGGTCCAAGTTCCTTGGTATTCCCAAAGTTGAATATTGCAACACAGGTTAACAACTACAGGCATGATTGTCCTTTCACTTCCACTATTTATACCAAAATGTAAATATGCATTAACATGGGTGCTGTTCCATCAGTGGGACTGAAAGAGAGATGAAGTCGAGTGATTTCTGAAGCTTTTACACAGACAAGGTGAGTTAATGATGAAGGGAGAAAGGCTTCTAATACAGCTATGGTTCTACATCCTGCAGTCCATTAATGCAAATGTTAATATTGTGCATATTTATTCCTATACAAGATGAGAACCATTTAAGAGAAATTATCCAGAGGCTGGCATTTCATAGAAAAATAAGGACTTACATTTTTTCTTCTACTCTCTTTATAGCTATACCCATAGAAACTGCCAAACAAAATGCAAACATTGCTTTGGTTCTGACTTCATGTGGAGGCCATATTGGTTTTCTGGAAGGCATATGGCCAAGGAAGTGCACTTACATGGACAGAGTCTTCAAGCAGTTTGTGCAAGCGATGTTTGAGCACGGAAACAAAATCATGTAGCTTTGGACCAGGATTACAGCACAATGGCACATTCTGACAAGGGCAGTTAAGCTTAATGCACAGATTTTAACTCCTGTTAAGCCAGCAAGTGGATAAAGTCCATTACTACATGCAAAAATATTTTTTGCCTAAGATTTTGTAGCAAGAAACTAAATATTATGTTGTCACTTTTGTATTTTTTTTTAATATGCCTTACTAAGAATGACTTTACATGAAACTGAATTCTGCATACATCAAATTGCACTTAACCAAAACCATCAAGTAAACAGAATATAATTCCTCAGGATTCTAATTTAAACCAGTACATATTTAGGAGACTTAATTTAGATGGCTTTTAATATAGAATGGCAAAATTCAAAATAGCATATATTACCCTGTCACACATAATAAGTTGGCCCACTCTTCAGGGCACTGCTGGTCAAAAATCTTACAATACAAAAACAAAATGGGGAGGGAACACAAAGAAGCACTGTATCTTCAATTAAGTCAAATTTTCAGCATGTTATTCCATAGCATTAGATTGATACCTGCTTCTGCTGTTCTATCCTGAGAGTAGTCAGATTTAGGGCTAGTTATTGTTTTTTAAACTATGTCAATGCCATACTTGTCTTACATGATTATTTTTTAAACAGCTAATTTATAGTGTTTACATATAACCAAAATATTTCTTTAAAACAGTACTGTAATAACTTATGTAATTAAAAGACATCTTGCATTTCAAAGTTCATGTGAAGCTGGGTGTTGCCATATATGTGAAACATACTTCATATAACTGATAGAATAATTAAGTTTATCTGTTGTGTTTATTTTACCCTGCAAGCACATTTCAGTTTTAAAGAATAAACATTAGAACATCAGGAAATTATTATATAATCTGCTTTAAATTAAAGAAAATAAAATTAAAAATCAGAACCCTTTGTCTCTGCTACTGTTTCAGATAATTTCTAAAAAGAACATACTAAACTCTTTAAAGAAAGCTGGGAGCTGGGGTGGGTGGTCAACCCAAGTCTCTCTGGTTTGTTAATATGATCATTTGTCAGCACTTGAGCAATAGGTTGTCAAATCATTGAAGCCTTTGCAAGTGATTTCTGCCCTAGGACTTACACGTCTGAGGGTCTGACTGAGGCATCACTGTTCTCCTCAGCCCTGAAACAAGAGTGAGAGCCAATGTGAGATCCTTGAGGAAAAAGGACAGTTGGACAGAATGTAAATTGAAACTGTTGGGAAGCTCTAATTTAGGACATATCAAAATTTTTAGAAAGGCTTTTAAGCAGCTTCTGTGGAGCTGCCACCTTGTGCTGATCACTGATTTAGGCCCGGCTACACAAGATAAGACAGAAAAGATGCCTTTGCATTTTTATTTTTATCTTTCAAGCAGGGTCAGCACAAGAAAAAAATGCAGATAAAAAAGCAAGTCAGGTCTTTTGTCTCAAGCACTACGTGAACAGTCCTCTTGCAAGGCATGTTTCCTAGTAACAGCAAAGGAAGAACAAAAATACTTTTTGTCTTTAGAAAAAGAAATTGGGACATGCCATATGAAAGCTAGCTTTGTAAGGTGCAAGTTTAAATAGAAACTAGTAAATGCTTTCAAATTGTGAATTCTCAGACAAGCATTGGCTCTTCCCCAAATAATAAAACCTAAATTATTTTTCTCTCATAAGGAAAATGAGAAAATTGACTTGCAAAAGCAAAACATAATGTTGTGCATGTTACTACTGGAAGTCAGCATAATAGTAGGGTGCCTTATTCTCACATTAATTTCCAGTTTTAATGTTCATACAAAACCAATAAGCAATAAACATTGTATTAAGCGTTATATTTTTTTTGTTTGGGTACAGTACTGTTCAACACTCAGCATCAAATATCAATAAATGTAAAACTACTTATATTTAAAGCACTCCTTACTGTTTAAATAAAAGTAACACGATTAATGGCAGAATTTCTGTCTCTGCACTTATTTCATTCAGATCTGATCCCATATACAAATTCCACTGAGACATTTCTCTTTCAAGCAAATGTCTATAAAGTTCAGACTTTTTCCTCCAAATATGGAGTGCTTTTCCTTAGGGGAAATGCATTTCCATTAGGGAAAATGCATTCTTCAAAGCACAGTGTGCAAAGTGGCAACAATCAACTTCTACTATGGATATTATCAAGCTTATCCAGTCAAATTTTCTAAAACACATGAGGTAGACACCTCAGTTCTTGCAGGGGACACACAAGCTAGCAAACAAGTTTAAGGCATTTCTTGCTGTCTATTATCTTTGTACCTTGTAGACAGAGTTTCACCAGTCAATCAAAATACAGACTCCAGGATTCAATTCAACTCTATTAAATGTGAATTCATGGTGCCTTTATTTGGCTTTTCATGTGATCTTAAGTATTTACACAGCAACAGGGATATGAAATGTTGAAGGTGGGAGAAAACAATTAGTTACCAATGTAGTCATTACTGGAAAGATGGAGAATAATGAAAATGAAATTCCAAGTCACAAAGCTTGCGAACACCTTTTAACTTTCTTCCTGGTTCAGAATCACCTAGCAGTCAGAGCAGACCTCCAGAGATTGTCCAAGCCCCTTATCAAAGCAGTTGTCCTACATGCCAACTGCACAGGAATTTCATAGAGGAACTGCCATTTTTCACCCATAACTCATACAGCTACCTGGCTCATGCCAACAACTCAAGACCTGCCAGGAAGAGGCCTTTTAGTCCTGCATGTGCTGCTCATGAGCAAGCACATCCCAGGCCACTTCAGCTCAATGCACCATCACCCTGAGGAAATAAAAAAGAAAAAAAAGAGGAAACATTAATTCCCCGAGTTGCTGTCACAACAGGCACCCTTCAGCCTGAGCCATGTGCTGTGGTTCTTATCCCAGGATGCCAGCTGGTCAAAAAGAGCCCTATAATGCTCAAGGCAATCAAGAAGAAAGATGAAAGTATAAAAAAGCTGGATCCCTTCCTCACAATAGGCTAGCAATGCTTCTTGCTAGCCAGGAAAATACCTCCCTGCAGCCAATCTACAGTAGAATATCCTAGCAATGTTTGTTTTGGTCTTGTTTTGTTGTTTTTTTTAAATTTTCCCTCCAACAAAATAAAGGAAAAACCTGCTAAATGCCTGAGCAGCCACAACAGCCAGCAGTTCTTCGTTAGCAAACACCTCTTCCTCTGAAGGATCCTGTTTCTCTCTTTTTTCTACTGGAGACACAAAAATCCAGCCTCTTCCTGTATAGGGATAAAAGGACTTGTTGAGTTGCTGAATGGATGGAAATCAGGGCCTATGCTGCTTCAGCTGCTCTTCCAGTTAAGTGAAGAATCTTCACATATAGTGACTAGTTTAAATCAGCTTCACCTGTGGCCTTGGCTAATCTGGCTGAGGTGCACCTCTGATGCACTAAGAGTGCTTGCGGAGTTAATTACAGATGAGAGGTTTAAGCAGCTGCTTCCTTACTCAGAGATGTCTGATAAGCAAAAGGGCAGGTTGGGAGTGTGTTAGCAAGTCAAACGGGGCTGCAAGATCTGGCATGAGTGCTGACTGAGAGTGGGATCAAGAGCTCAAGAGCCTCTAACTATGCAGCCTGCCCTAACGCTGCAGTTTCACAAGCAACTGCCAATGTTAACAGCTCCCTCGTGCCAAAAGGGGAAGGCTCGCTCTTCCTCCTCCCCTGTCTTTTCTTATCCTCCCTGATTCCAGTCATGTGGTCCTCACCCTTTTTTTGTCCCAGCAGAATATGATGCAGCTTTCCCATCAAGTTCATTTTTTTGCTAGCTCAGTGAGTTAGATTTGCATGCCTACAGGGGTCCCTCAGGTGATGGAATGGTGTGAGGTAAAGAGTTGGAGCAAAGTGGAGAAAAAAGTGGGAGAAGCTTTCCCCTTTTGGTGAGTCAGCTCTTACACAGGGTCACCCCATCTCCCAGAACTATAGCCCAACAGGACACTCTTGGATGATCCATGTGTCAACTGAGCAATTACTCCTGTGAAAAAAAGGCATAACCTAGAAGCAAGTAATTTTTCACTTAGCTGCAGACAAGAGGCACTCCAGCAGTATTACAGTAGTGGTAGACAAGGCTAAATTAACATAAACCCCGTTTGGGGTTACATTCTGTCCTGTCCACATACTCTACCTATTTGAATGCAGTTTCTCCCCCCCAGGCCCCCTGGTTCTACAGCAAATCCGTGCCCCAGCCCTGCTGTTCACATGCATTGCAGCTTCTGAGGAGAGTAACTTCCTGTCAAGTTTGTGTTCTTTGAGCAAGGTGACATTTGCTAGCAAGTTCACGCTGGCATCAGTGCTTCAAAATGCTGCCATCTCCTGTGGAAAACTGGAAATGTACTCATATCCCTCTGTGCCAAGAATTGAGTTTTCCCAAGTTTTGGAACTGAATGCTGTATAGGAATGCCTGTTTGTTTACTACTTCCCTGATGCAAAACAAATTACAATTCCATGGAAGGATGTGAGAAAATCTAGTTTTGCTTGCTTCATGCTCCTAAGAAACGGGGATGGATGGGAAAATACCACGTTATAATTATGAAGTGAGCAATAACTTAAGGAAATACTCTTATCACCCTCCAGGAAATTTACAGGCAACTCAGTGACTAAATTCTTCTTCAACTGGAAAGTATTCTGCAGGTTACTTTAGGAAAGCAGGCCACATGTTGCTATATTCATTGTAAAGTCACAGCAAATTATCATGTATTAAAGAGGAGCTGTTATGAGAAGTTATAAATAACATTCCTCCTATCAGCTTTTCCAAAAACTTCAGCTGCCAAAAATTTCCACTGGACTAGGACAAACTGTGCTTCAATGAAGCATGTCCAGAAAGGGGACTCATCAGGGAAGACACTTCATGAAGAGATAAAACAAATTTACAGGCAGAACAAAGTATCTTGCAGGTAGTTGGATCTATACATAAAAAGTTTTACACTATTTAGCAACTTGACTGCAATTTCCAACAATCGATCCCATAAATATAGTAGCTTTAGAAGTCAATAAAATGTTCAGACAAATAGAAAAAAGCCTAACTTTTTTTTAATACAAAATAAAACAAAACAAAACAAAAAAAACACTTTTACAATACTTCAAACATTAACAAAAGAATTTTTGCAGGATGTTTATGCTGTGTAGCTTCCAAGTACTAAAATATTTGTGTGATCTCTGTTAGGTCAGCAGATCTGTACAAGAAATCACCTTCCCCAACATCCTTCATGGTCAGTTACTGGTTGGCTAATGTGAAGGTTCATCATGCTGTTCTCCAGTCATGCTGATGTAAGCAACACTCACACATCCCTAGGTAAAATTACAGTCAGATGAGCTGAGACTGTGTCTGTATTAGCAAGTAGAACTTCCCAGCAGGAGCGGATGTGAACAGCAACGCTACTATATACACAGACCATAGGTAGGGCACACTTCAGGTTAGCCCCAGCCCAGTCAGGTGGGTGGAGGGCACCACACAAGGGAGGTATCTCTAGGTTAGTATCCTAATTAGGCTCAGCAGCACCTTGCTGAAGGAAACCACCTGAACGCTCCCACTTGTCATGCGGGGTCGGATTCCTTTTGAAGGAAACCCACCCCACAGATCCATCTCCAGAACACACCCGGTGTGTCCCAAGTCACTGCAGCCACGGGACAAGGCCCAAGCTGCCCTGGACTCCTCTCCCCTCCTCTCCTGCAAAACCTTTTACTATTACTTGCCGGTGCAGACAAAGGCTCAGGCCTAGAAATATCCTCGGGCAGCGAAGCCATGACGTAAGACCGGATGGGGTACAAACCCATCACCCGCTGTAGCAAAGACGGAAACATCCCAGGCAGTTGACAAAAAAATAAAACACAAACAAATCACAAGCACAGGGCCGCGCTGCAGCCTCAAATGTGAAGTGCCCGGATGTCAGACCGGCCGGGGGCGTGCGCGCGCCGCCGGGACCGCCGGGACCGCCCCGCCCTC